AAGAACTTTAGAAGGGGCACTGTTTATGATCATAAAAAACGGCCGCAGCCACCCCAACTCAAAACCATAGCCGCATCATCTCCTTTCTTCAACCATCACCATACGAAACCCTCATCAATGCCATCACCATACAAAACCCTCATCAATGCCATCACCGCATCACCATTTTCACCTCCGCCTTCGCAACCTTAGACCACCACTATCTTCGACGCAATCACTTCACCGACGCCGCCTTTTCAACTTAAACTTGACGCAAAATTGCACAGAAATATTAATGATACTACTCTTGCATACTCAAATTGACAGCAACAAGATTCGAATAAACGTTTCAGAGTTTACGGAATCATCTCGTTTCATCTACGGCCGGAGTAATAAAGGCATCACGTTTGGTTTTATCAGCTCAACAGCGACGAAGAGGTAGCCGCGAGATCCATAGCAACTCAACGACGTCAGACCTTTGCATAATCACGGCGTAACGATAAACCTCGAGTCATCTCATTGGTGTCGATGATGCTTCTGGTGAATGTTTTTACTTCGGTACCATCGTTTTCACTGCAGTTTTTTTCCAGTTAACATTTGATCCAAACCATTAAGTTTTTCCATTACGATACTTGTTTTAAAAGCTGTATTGAACTCGTATTTATGCTGTTGAAATTATGTTTTCCATTTCCAGTTTATTACAATTGATTAGTTGTAAGAACTGTTGAGGTTGGTTCGGACGCGGTTTCGTTCTCATCTTCGATTCTGTTTGTTTTTTTTATTGAGTTTTCATTTGTATAGTACTGATGAAGTCTAGTATTAATTCTATTTCATGTTTTTCTCTGCATCATTTCGGTTTAGTTGTTGATGTTTGGTGAACTGTGATTAATGTGTGACGTATATGAGATTCGGTAACGATTCAAAATCAAAAGTTAATTGTATATTGTTTGTCATTTGGATTATCTTGTCGATTATGTATTCTTGCTGTTTCGGTTATCTTTGCGGAAATGTTGTTCATTCGCCTTCTGTTATGAAATTGTTATTGATCATATTGTATCTGCTTATTTTGGTTTAAATATAATGCTGCTTCTTTTCAATGATGATAAGTTTTCAATTTAAGCATTTTGTATATATTGTTATGTTGTTGTTGCTTTGTATATATTGTTATGTTGTCATTATTGTTCATATTTTTCTTTATGTGTGTGGATGAGATTTTGAAAGCTTGGATAGGCTTCTGTTTTTTTCTCTTCCTTATGCTTCATCTAAGACCAAGTCTAAATTAGTGTGTTCATCTTAAATTTTTCTAAAGCATGATAATGATGATAGTACTGCATTTTGCTTCCAAATAAATTCCTCTTTTACTAGCATATATTATTAATATTAATAAAGTTTCAAAGAGAAGTTTTTCTTAGTCATGGAATTATCGAGATTGGCCTAATTCTTCTCCTTTTATTTCACTAATTATTCTCCTTTTTTTTATAAAAAAAAAACATTTTTTTTCAATTAAACTTTCAAGCAAATCAGATAATTTTTTCTAAACAATTTTAGACTATTCTTTAATAATATTTGTCAAGCCCAATATTTATATTTTTTAAATAAATAAAACTTACTTTCTATTTTATTAAATAGTTTGTTTTAATACATATCCAGAATATTTTTTTTTAAAAAAATAGAACCTTAGATTATTTTCAAATTTATTCCAAAATTCGGTTAACTATTTTTCTTAGTCCTAAATTCATTTTTGAATATACAAACAATTTTCTTAAATTAAATCACTTTCAAAATTTGACTATGTTTCTTGATCCTATATATATATATATATATATATATATATATATATATATATATATATATATATATATATATATATATATATATATATATATATATATATATATATATATATATATATATATATATATATATATATATATATATATATATATATATATATATATATATATATATATATATATATATATATATATATATATATATATATATATATATATATATATATATATATATATATTTTCGAAGCTAAAATTATTATTCAATCAAATCACGAAAAAAACTAAATCCTTGAAGTCTAGCACTTCTTGGATTCTTAGACAATCATTATTGAGGTGTACACCTTAAATAATGTATTGTTCGACTTTTTGTTTTTTTAAAATATACTTTTTTTTTTGAACAAAGAAGTATCATAGGAATCTAGCATTCTGTGTGATATTTCCGTTGTTCACTCAAACTTTTTTTTCAAATAAAAATGGTGTTATTGGAATCTAGCATCTCGATAATACTCCGATTATTTGGTTGTGAGGCCGACGTCTTATTTATCAAATAATTATCATTTCTCTTAAATTATTTTTTCAAAGTCAATTTCATATTCTTCTCACACATTTATAAATCATTTTCATACCCCATTTCGCTTCAAATAATTTTCAAAATATTTCCTCGATCAAACTCCAAAAGAAGGGGATTCTTGGAATCTAGCATTCCTTGGATCTTCGAGTGAATAATTCTTGAGGCACGCTCTTGAGTTGTTATTCGCTCAATCTTTTGATTTTCTTAAACACTTTTCTCAACATCTTTTTCGATTAAAACTCCGAAAGAAGGAGTTTCTTGGAATCTAGCATTCCTTGAATTTTTGAGTGAATAGTTCTCGAGGCACGCCCTTTGAGTTGTTATCCTCTCAACCTTTCGACTTTTTTCAAACTCAATCATTTTCCAATGTTCTCCCAAGTTGAGTGCTCGTCCGCATTCGCACCCATCGACATTCGCACACATATTCACAATTCACCGTGGTTTCGATATTGGGGGCACCCTTAGGGACTAATATCGCTTCTCACGTTTTAACCCTTGACACGCCGTCAAGTCGGTTTCATTTTATCAAATCCTCGACTCGTCATCGAGCCACTTCAAAACAACTTCCTTTTTGCCTCACATTCCATTTTCGATTCAATCTTTTCACAAACTTTTTTAAACTTACGAAAGAAGGATATTCTTAGAATCTAGCATTCTTTGGATACTCAAATGAGTAGCTCTCAAGGCGCGCTCTTGAGTTGTTATTAGTTCATTCTTTCGATTTCAAAACATCCAACTCCTTTCAACCTAATCTCCGAAAGAACTGAGTTCTTGGGGTCTCGCGTTCCTTGAATTCTTGAGTGACAAGCTCTCGAGACACGCTCTTGGGTTGCTTGTCAGTCACTCTTTTATTTCAAACTCAACTTCCAACCCATTCAACCTCATCTTTTCGTGGTTGTTACCACGAACTACGACTGCTCTGATTCTTCATTCTCGTCCGAATGTAAGATACGTAGGCACAAGATTTGCGATAATCTTGGCGAGCTACCTCCCATCCATTTCCCCGTATCCTTTTCGTGGTTGTTACCACGAACTACGACTGCTCTGATTCTTCATTCTCGTCCGAATGTAAAATACGTAGGCACAAGATTACGATAATCTTGGCGAGCTACCTCCCATCCATTTCCCTGTATCCTTTTCGTGGTTGTTACCACGAACTATGATTGCTCTGATTCTTCATTCTCGTCCGAATGTAAGATACGTAGGCACAAGATCGCGATGATCTTGGCGAGCACATTTCCCTTTTTCTCCCCTATTCCACACTTCTATCTTCCTCCATTATTCCGTCCACATTCCCATCCTTTCCCGGAGTCGAACTACGACGCTCTGATTTCTCATTCTCGTCTGAATGAGCATACGTAGGCACAAGGGCCCCAATCCTTGGCGAGCACCCTATCTTCTAACCACCCATCTCTCCTTTACGTCTTTAACCTTTTACCCTACCAATTCTACCTTTAACAACGAGAAGAAAACAAGTAAACCTAAACAACACTCCCCACAATTACCTTAAGAGGTTCCCGTCGAGTACGACGGACGTGAGGGGCGCTAATACCTTCCCCTCACGTAACCGACTCCCGAACCCGGAACTTGGTTGCGACAACCCTGTTCCTATCCTTTCGTTTTAAGAGGTTTTCTCGATATTTTCCTCTCCCGTTTATTCGAGAAAATAAAGTTCGGTGGCGACTCTGTCGAACCGCATTTTTGCGCCTTTTGCGCGAGGGTCGTTTCTCCGAAATGTCTCCGTGATTTTTTTTTGAGGTGCGACAGTTGGCGACTCTGCTGGGGATGTGCTCCATGCAAAGAGAGAACCGAGCCTATCTTTTGGTTTGTGAGGAGTGTTTGTTTTTTATTTGTTTCCTTCTTGCTTATGTATTTGTTCTCTTGTGGCTTTCATCTGTGCTTGTTATCCTGGTTGCCTGTTGGTTCTTGGGATGGCATCATAAGTAAAACTCTACGCTCGAGCTTTGGTAAAAGCAGAGAGAACACATAGTTTAGAATTGGTAGTCGAGTAGTGTTAGTCACTAAGGATTCGCTCCTTGTGTGCCTAGCATGAAAGCTCCTCCTGAGGAGACCTATTCGTAGATCTTGTTGTAAAACAACTAGCCTGTTGCACGACTTGATTAATGAAGGGTCCGTGATTCTGGGAACCTTTTGTTAGCACCAGTTTCGATATTGGTGGTCGTGTAGTGTTAGTCTCCAAGGACTCGCTCCTTGTGCGCCTAGCATGAGGACTTCGCTCAGGAGAGACCTTATCATCATTATCGTCGTAATACAGCCAGCCTGTTGCGTGACGCTAATACGACTAGTGTCCGTGATCCTGGGAACCAAACGTAGAAACCATCCCGTAAGTGGGTTTATGGGTAGAATGTTTAGACCTTCCCGTATAGGTTGTACCTGTCAATTTTCTTTGAGCAGGAATTATGGTTACTTATCTATTACAGTTACCAGCTTCAGGAGCTGTTTGAACTATGATCCTGTGATCCTGGATCTTGTATCTTGCATTGCATCTTGCATATCATTTGCATTGCATTTCATATGTTGTGCATTTTGCATTTCCAGTCCTTCAACAGAATCTCATGTCTCCGTTCCTTCTTCTACAGTAAATCAAGCTGATTCCTCGACACCAATACGCAACTAGAGCCAATACAAGACGAATGATGGAGCATATTCAGCAGGAGCAAGCTGCCTTCAGGGAAGAATTGGATTCCATGAAAGGAAAGATCGACCAGATCCTCGAAGCCATCCTCGTGGCCAGAAGAGAGGAAGAACAGCGCGAAGCCACTGCTGTCGTCAACAATGGTCAAGGACAAGGGTCTACTGCCATCCCTTTGGTTCCAATTCCAAAGTTTCATGGGATGCCGTTGAACTTCAACAACGCAGTCGAAGGAAACACTCCTCAGCCAATCCCAGCGCCTGGAGTTACTATTGGAGCTATCCCGCAGGCTCAGCCTACTGTGGTGCAGATCCCAGCCCCTCATACTGAAGATACTCAGATGGATCAGTATGACGACGTTCATAACTATCATGCTGCTATCCCCATTGCTAGTCCTGTTGCCTCTCAGGATTTTGAAGCCATGAAGATGTGCCGAGATCTAGCCGAGAAACTCCGAGCAATGGAGGGGCACAATTTAAACTCTTTCAGTGCTTTGGAATTATGCTTAGTGCCCGATGTTGTCATTCCTTCCAAATTCAAGGTGCCCGAATTCTCGAAGTACAAGGGTCTCAGTTGCCCAAATATTCATCTGAAGATGTACTGTCGCAAGATGGCTGCTTATGCCAGAGATGAAAGGCTCATGATTCATTGCTTCCAAGACAGTTTGTCTGGGGCATCGCTCAAATGGTATATGCAGCTGGAACGTAATAGTGTGCACACTTGGGCCGAGCTAGCCGATGCATTTGTCAAACAATACAAATACAACACCGATCTCGCTCCAAACCATACTCAGCTTCAGAGTATGACTCAGAAGGACAGCGAATCCTTCAAGGAGTACGCGCAACGATGGAGAGAGCTAGCCGCAAGGGTGCATCCACCTCTTGTTGACCGTGAATTGATTGACATCTTCATGGGTACCTTACAAGGCCAATACTATGAGAAGATGATCGGTAGTGTCTCCGCTGGATTCTCTGACTTGGTGATCGTCGATGAGAGAATTGAAGAAGGGATGAAGAGTGGAAAGATCCCAGGAGGTTCTAACAACCAAGCCAATGCCAAGAAGCCTTTCAACGAATACAAGAAGAAAGAGGGCGAAACGAATGCCATCTCTTTGCAGAAAGGGCAAGCTTCTCAGCAAGCTCCCGCTCCTATGCCTTATCAAGTTCCTTATTATCAGTATCCGTATGTTGCTGCTGCGCAATATGCTCCAATGCCTTATCAGCCAGCTGTTCAAGCTCAGATGCCACAGCAACAGGCCTACAACCAGCAAGGATATCAGTATCCTCCTCAGCAACAGGCCTACAACCATCCTATCTTAATTTCTCTCAAGTTCGGGTGTAGAACTTTATCTCACCACTCAAAGACAACAATCCCAAAAGAAATACAAGAGAAAGCATGTAAACAATTGATCAAGTAGGCAGATATATAAAGCAGTAAACAAATAAAAAAAGATAGGGAAACCCACTAGAGATTCCCCAGTGAAGTCGCCATTTCTGTCGCGGTGAAAATTTGGATACCAAACTATTGATTAGTTTGAATCTTTAATTCAATTTGCAACCGAACTTTAATTTGTCCAAAGGAAGGGATAAAGATCGAAATTCCCACAATGCAATGCAAATGCAAGCTAGATTGTTTAGGTTCGGGGGTTGGTTAAACTTAGGGAATGTACTAGCATCCTAAGTTTCTGTAGTACTCTACAGGAACCTCTTGTTTTATGTTTGTTTACTGCTATGTGTTATCTGCTTAAGGTTTAAAGACCTAGGGGTTTATTTCTAAGTATACTCGATAAGATATCGCATCTTATGCCTACATATCCTTACGGGAGTGGAATCAGAGTATGTTGTAGTTCACCCTAAAGGGTTTAAGGAGCTCTTTGACTGTGGCCAAAGTTCCTACGGGTTAAGGGTAGTTGTTTTGATTGGGTTTAGGAGAAGAGATGAGTCTTCATGTTAAGGGAGAGATAACCACCACAAATGTAAAGGAGTTGTAGGAAATGGTCTTTGCATCGTCTTAAGAAAAGGGCTTAAGTACTCGGATGGTCGCCAAGTATGCCTTTATCGCTCTTAAGGCAAAGTCCCTACATGTTTGATTATATTGTTGTGGGGGTGGAGATTATATCTCACTTAAGATGATTAACATCTATTCTCTAATGTGTTTGAAAAAGTTTGTATTGTTTTTGATTGTTTGTTTCTATGTTGTGAAGATTAAGGTCCTTCCTATGGGGTAGGTCCTAAACTTAAATGATCAACTTGAAGAATCAAGGATCGAGGGGAATATGATGCTTATGATGTGCAACTACACACAAGTGTTGACTCATGTGTAGGTTTTTCCTTTGGACGGAATGCGATGCATGAATAGTAAAATGCGATAATATTAAATGACTGTAAAGTAAATTGCGGAAAGATAAATCATACACATACGCATGAAAGCGCTAGGTGAATGTGTGTATTGTGAATGTGAATGTGCGGTGCACGATTGAATTATTTTACGATGTTGATCATTTTTAGGCGAAGTTGAATCAATATTGAGGGGAATGATTTGTTCCTAAGGTGGAATTGATTTTATTAGATTAAAAAAGACACAGGTGAATTTGGTTTTAAGAGAAATGTTTGATTAATTATTGAGTTTTAATAAAAGGTTGGTACGAATTAATTAAGTCCTAATTAATTCATTTTAAATAAGAGGAGTTGTACCTACAGATTTTTTTACTATTTATCTTAAAAGTTAATCTACATATGAAATAGCTTGTTATAATTAAAAGTTAACTATGGGAAAGTTCTTTTAAATAAAATAGTTCTAGCCATAAAAAAAAATATTATTAAAATTAAATTGCTTAGCAAAAGGTTTTCTCAAAAAGAGTATATTATTTTAACGAAAAGTTGTTAAGTTAATTAATTAAAATAAATTGAATTATTAATTATATTGTTTGAATAAAAGTTAGTTGGTTTAAATAATCAAACAGTTAGTTAGAAAAATCTGATTATTAAAATAGGTTTTAAATATTGAAAAAGAAGACTAATTAAAAGGGGAAAAAAGTTAATTAATTAATTAGGCCAAAAATGTGGGTTAATTATCGGTTAAATTGTTTTAAGCAGTGGATTAGGGGAGTTAGCGGTTTGTTGTGTGTGTGGTGTGTATCAGTGTGTGATTAGTGACCATATTACAATAATTAAAACAAAATAAAACAACTAAAGGGAACCCTAAATCCCCAATCAAAAATCTCCCCCCTCCTTCACCGATCTACTCCGATCACCATCTCCCGCCGTCGCGTCTTCCTCCTTTCTCCCTTTCTTCGATTCGTCTCCGTCTTCTCCTTCTTCTTTTTCATTTCGTTTCTCGTTTTCCCCTCTCTATCGTGATTCCTGCATTAATCAAACAAACAACAAAAGTTAACGTTAGCGAGAATAACCTTTCACGATCTGATAGCTTCCTCGCCGGTGTGGTAGTTGGAGATGATTCGATGCTGGAGGTTGCGATAAGACGACGATGACTTCGCCGGTGGTGGTGTTCTTTCTGAAGTAAGTCTTTCCTCAATTTCGCTTAGGTTTTCTGATTGGAGATTTTGTGTGTTCCTCTCTTCCCTTATTCCCCTTCCTGATGTGTCTTATATATAGTTGCAGGGGATAACGTGAATTGAAGAGGAGTAACAGAGTTTCCATTTTGGATTGATTACGTTGGGCCGCTTTTGGAAGGTATAATTAACACTATTATCTCTAGTTTAATTTCGTTTGGCAATTGCTGATGAATTTCGGTTTTCCCAAACATTGGTTGTGGTCTCAAATTCTTTCCTTTAATTTATTTCCATTTTCGTTCTGTTCTATTTTGGGAATTAACTTAATCTGTTCTGGTTTTGCAGGAAATGGCGTAAATGGGAATTATGAGGTGTTATCATGTCATTAGATCTTCCCCTTTTGTGAAATCAACCTCAGCGAGAAAATGAGATAAGTTCCCCTTTTTGATTCTTAATTTAGGAAATAAATCATGGTTTTATTTGGAAATGATCCCTGTTCTGCTTTCACGTTGTAGGCTTTGTTTAACTGATACTTAATTACTGAAGGCAACTTCTACTAATGACTTCCATTGACCTCTTGTTATCCTTTTTGCAGTAGTGAAGGCGAGATCATGACATGGAGTTTAGCGGCTTCTTCTAGTGGCGCAGTCATGATCTTTTTGAGGAGTACTCATGTTAAGATGTCCTTGATGGTAAGCTTGAACTTCTATCCATTGCAACAATTGCAGATGTACCACAAGTGAATTAGACGAAGCAGAGGCTTGACTGGGTAAAGACATCGGTGTGCTTTTATCACGAATGGAAGGTGAAACATGCCGCCTGTGCATTTTTTTATGGCCTGATTTCAACAGTTTAAAGAGGTAATTGGATGTGTTATTGTTTCAGCATCCTTAATGTCCAAATGCATCAATATTTTCACAAAGTAACCTATAAATCAACGCCTTCCAACAGGACTGATACGATCAAGAACAGTCGCGGTCTGGACCTGATGGAAGGTGACCTACTTGCTTGGAACCTCTGAAGGCGTCAGCTAATTAGTCAAGACGCGTTTTGGTTTGCAGATAATTTGGAGCAGCTCCTAATTAGTCATGCTACACCATCCGCTAAGAACAATGTTGGAGCCGTCTATCTCAAGCGGGAAAGGATTCTTGTTCACCAGCACAAACTCTTCAGCCTCTTCAACGTTACCCTATTTTACAAAGAGCAGTCAAAAGCGCACGAAATGCTTTCTGATCAGGAGTTGACGTGAACTTGTTCACAAAGTTGAATGTTTCAAATTCTTTCACAGAGTCTTTTGCAGATAATAAGCACAGCCTGATGCGTGGAGCGACGAGTGGTGCATATCTCGAGCAATGGACCATGCAATCGAAAATTTCCCATGAGTTCCCAAAACCTAGATCATCAAGTTGCAAGCTTTCCCATCATTACAAGAGCTATTTAATTCGAACAAGAGCTATTTAATTCGAAGGCACGCGATGCTTTTTTCAGTCTTCCCTTAAGACCCAAATTGTGGAACATATCAAATATTTACTTGGTTCCGGTGGTAAATGACAACATTCACCCTTTTTGAGCAATTGGAGGAGTCGCGGTAGGGCTGGATCATCCAACTCAGATTGGAAGTTCAAAGGTGGATATTAAGCATGTTTGAAAAGGTTCATAGTATCCCTTCTCCTTTTTATTGCGCGAATATACGACCTGTCATTACTCATGTGAACTTTCAAATTATTTCTCCTTATTATGCTTGCTTTGTTCCATTGACAGGGTGCGAGTGAGTAGTTGCAATTTCAAACTGCGGTGGCTGATAGTGTGCTTGCAGGGTTTTGGCGGGGTTTTTTGTAGCTTGTTATCTTGTCTGCGACAAATCCCCATCTTGGGAGAGTCTGTTATTGTCAAAATGAAACAACTTTGTGGTAATCTTCCTAACTGTCTATTCCTTTCTTGCAGAACAGGTCTTGTTGTATTTCACCTACAACTCATGGCTTAAGCTCAAACCGTGTGATGGTGATGGTGGCAAGTTGACGGTGTAGGGGTGAAGTCGAGACGATGCGACCATGATATGTAATCCTTGGCGTGGACCGCGGGGGGAATATACTGCGCGTGATAAACCAAGAGGTCACAGTTGCACCCTCCCTCTTGCTTACTAATTCTTATGTATATGAAATTTGGTGTGTTCATATCCTGAGAACTTCTGCCTCTGTACACGAGTTGTCACGGCTCTTATAGATACTCCCCTTAGATCCCTTTTCTTCTTCAGAATCTTCAAGGTTTTGTCGGACATATCTTAAATTTGAAGTTTATAAACATCTGTTATTTTAATATGGCCAGATTTCATGTCAAAATGGTGTATCCCTCGATCATTGTTTTGGATTTTTGAATCGCACCTTCGTCGTAGAAATTGTATTACCGCATTATTAACCTTATCAAATTCTGTTGGCAGGTTTGGGAATGTGAGCCTGGGAGGAATAACATGACTGTTTGTCATACGGTTCTAGCTCATTAGGGAATGAAGCTTGCGAGTTAGGACAAAGCGAAGCCTCCGCGTTGGTTTCATTATCCACATCTGTCGAGAACAGTTTCATGGGGCATATAAATTGTAGTTGTAAATTTTATAAACCGTCTATTGTATTCCCATTGTAACACTTGTCCTTGGTATTTGTATCCTGGATCTTTTAGTAATAAAACTCAGTGGGTTTGGACTCTAAATTCATGTTAACCTTATAATAACAAAAGAGAAATTGTGGCGATACAAAGTAAACTTGTATCCACGGCTGTTGCTAGACACCGAACATGATTTTGAAGGAAAGCCAAAACTTTCTAAATCTTTGTAGCTTTAAACAAAGCGCTGAATTGGAATAACTCATATACTTCTTTAGAATTAGTTGAGCATAAGGTGAACCCTGAATTAA